GCCTACACACCCACCCCTCATCCCCACCCCAACCTAAATAAAATATTATTAATATTACTTCCTTTTCATGTTATAAATAGATTTTTTTTTGTATTTCAACAAATGAGTATTTTTTTTACATGATATAAAAAAGTATTTTTTTTATTTCAACAAAAAAGTATTTTCTTTTCATAGAAAAATTAAAAATATTTTCTTTTCATGATGTAAAAAAGTATTTTTTTTCATTTCAACAAAATGAATATTTTCTTTTATTTCAATAAAATGAGTACTTTATTTTCATGTGGTAAAAATAGTACTTTTTTTTTCAACAAAAAAAGAGTATTTTCTTTTGAGTTATGTAGCACAAATTTTAACGTTTTTCTTACGTAAAAAAGTAAAGCAACACATTAGTTTTTTTGGGTTTGTGTTAATTTTTAAAAGAGTAATTAAATTCCTTGAAGACAATAGAGTTCTGAAAACGTTGGGTATTTGGGGGAGGGGGCGAGCAAGGGAACATGGGGACTTGGGGGAACGGGGGAGGGGGTGAGAAGAGTAGCATAAAAAAATAGTTTGTGCTCTCTAACCAAACACTAAAAAATATTTTCTGAAAAAAGTTTTCCACTCACCAACCAAACAAGGAAAAATAAAATCACTTATTTCCCTTCGTACCAAACATACCCATAATTTCTGTTTTTAATTTTCTCTTCCTCTTTTACTTCCCTTTTTTAAAAATAAAATAAAGCCATTTTCCACATGGCTTACAAAATAGATGAACTGTACACACCCTCATGGCCAACGGTCCATTCTTCTTTATTTCCTTTTCTCCCCTTTGTTTTTTCCCTTTACTTATTTAAATGAATGCACCAATTTATAGAACAAGAACCATGGAAGCTAAGAAACCTAGCATTTCTATTTTAATGTACTATCCTTCCTACATTCTTTTTCTTACTACTACTACAACCAATCTCTCTAGTTATAATGAAAGATCTTGAAGAACAAACCAACCTTGACACTCTAGCCCATTATCATGACTTCTCTACTTCATTTTCATCATCTAATGGCTTAAATTCTCCTTCAACCATCACCACAAAAATCTCAATAGAATATAAAGTGAAAAAAATCTCAAAAAGAGTTAAAGAATTCAACTGCAAAGGAACTGATCATATTGGTGGCACCGATGAAAACAGGAAGAGAAAGAAAAAAGAGGGAGATGACAAGCATCCGACATATAGCTATAGGGGAGTTCGTAAGAGGAATTGGGGAAAATGGGTGTCCGAAATTCGAGAGCCAAGGAAGAAATCAAGAATATGGCTAGGAACATATCGGACGGCTGAAATGGCGGCTCGAGCTCATGATGTCGCGGCTTTAGCCATCAAAGGACACTCGGCTTACCTTAATTTTCCTTACTTAGCTAATCAACTCCCACGCCCAGCTTCTACTTCCCCTAAGGACATTCAAATCGCTGCTGCAAAAGCCGCAGCCACCACATTTCCCGAGGAGGAAATGAAGTCTCGAGCCGAATCGAGCCATGAAATCTCGAGCCCAATGGAGCCACACAGTTCATGTTCATCCACGGATTTATCGTCGGAGAATAACCAAGAATTCGTAAAATCTCCATCAACGGACAAAGATGATACATTTTTCAACCTGCCTGATCTTTCATTCAATGAAGTAGATCAAATTGGCCGTTATTCTGATCCAAATTCAACATGGCTGCAGGTTGGAGCCGATGTTGGATTCTGGCTCGAGGAGCCATTTTTATTTGTGTGAAAGAAAACACTTTAAAAATCAACCATTATAGCAAAAGCCAAATTTTGTAAACTCATGTTCATATATGTCTACCATAGTTTTCTATTTTTATGAATTTCTTCTTTTTGCTGAACCAAACAACAATAATAACAATGCTTCACTGTCAAGTAATAATTAGAGAGCAAATGCCCCCAGGCTGGATGTCAGGATCGAATTCCTTCCGTGTAAGTTTCCTCATATTAATGAGAAAGGTTGCGATATTGATATCGTAACACTAGCCAAGTATGCTAAACCAAAAACAAAGGCTTCATATGTTGTTAGTAAATTTTATATGCTTATTCGTGATTTTAAAAAAAAAGATTAATTGATAACAAGATCGAATTAATGCAAAAAAAATAAAAATTTGGTGCCTATTTCGTTTGGAGAGATCCAAGGGAGTAAAAGTAGTTTCATTAACCGTTAGATACGGTCATTTTTAAGATATAGCGACAGTAACAAGGATATATATAGGAAAACACTAGGATCCAATGATTGAGCAAAAGTTTATGGTAGCTTTTTTTATGGTAATTAGTTTGTCATTAATCACCTCTCTCCCCTTTCCTTTAACCTTTGCTAGTTTGTCTCATTCAAAAAATCCGTGCATTATTTGTCCTCGTCATTTAATTTGTAGCTACGGCTAAACTCATGTATATACTCGCAATATAATTATTTTTAAAAAATATTTATATATTTTAATTTAAGATATTGTAGCATGTAATTTTTTTAATTTTCAAGTTATTAATATCACTTATTTGTGAACGAGTTATATATAGTATTTTTTAGAAAATCTAACAGTATAAAAATACTTTTACACGACAGTGTATAGAAGTTAAGGTCTAGTATTATTACACTATCCCGTACGTATCAATTCGAGTTAAACAACTAATCGTCCACATATGAATGCGAATGTATATAATTTCTCACTGTCAAGATATCGTCTCAAGAAAATTATCAGATAATTGAATTTTACGTACTGTTTACTGTTAATGAACATAGACTAGCTCCCTAATCCCTTTGATGATATTAGACTTAGATAAGTACAACGTAGGAAGATCACCAAGTTTAATGTTAAGACAATACTATTAAGGAAAGAACGGTGATTAGCCACCTTTGGGCAGTGATAAGTGACCTTGTTTTTAGATGATAGGATATATTATATTATAATATTAAACACCAAGTTCAGAGACATTACAGGCCATACTACGTACCACCATAGTGGCTATTTTCTACGCCTCGTATGGGATTTTCATTACCTAGAGCAGCCAACCTAGTACATAAACTATTCGAAATTAAACCACCGGCAATCATTTTTAATATATGGGTAAGTAGGGTAATCAGTTTCAGATAGTCGGATTACCTCTGTTGCATCAGTCTCTATTTCCATGGCAAACCATTTTTTGTTTAATAATGATGCGGAGTGCTTGTTGTAGCGCCTGTAGTTCCACTTGAATGGCTGCGGCTGTATGGGTTTGATAAGTGACCTTAACATCGCTATCTCTTGTTTCAAGGTCTATTATCCCATCGTGAGCCATTACGATATAGATTCGCAAAGTTAGTAGAAGAAATAAGTGCAATATTTGTTTGAAGGTTACATAAACAGAAGTGAGGTCCTAATCTACCATGAATAAATAGTAGCTCAAATGGGAACACTGGTATGTCTTCAATGCAAAGCTCCATCTTCCATAGCTACCTAGTTCTAGAATTTTCACGCAAGGTGCAGAAGTATAGTATGAGTAAAACCGACTCCATGTACTCAATAAGTATATTGACTAACCTCCGAGAAATAGTGACAAGATTTTAAGTCAAAAGATACTCACTTTGCAAAACTTGTGCAGCTCAATAACATGTACAATATAGAAAAAATATTCCAGAAAAATAATTACAGATTAAAGAATATCAACAGTAAGAGTGCACAAGTGGATAGGGAAATAAACAAACTTTATCAATTAGACAGGTTCACAAATACAACTTTCACCAACCCCGCTCATAAAGAGGTATGCACCATATCATATGTGTGCTCAATACCCATACATCATTGTAAACATGTGCCCAACATGGTCCAATTTCTTATGAAATGCCAAATAACTCGTTCAAGAGAATCTTTCGAGAAGCAAATACATCAATGTATGATGACAACTTTCTTATCCCATCAACCCCGTTTGCTACCAACACCTCAATAAAATATGAGATATCAACTCCACGTAGGTAAACCCATTTGACAACCAAATCATCAAATAATAATAGAAGCATAGATTAGCATGTTAGAAATAACACAACAAACCATGTAAAAATGCATGACACGCATAAAGAGGTTATAGGCACAAAAAAGAATGTCACTCTCATAACACCAGACAAACATAATCCATAAAATCGCCCCTAGGCCATCACATAATATCCCCACAATGTTACCCTTATTTCGCCGCATGTGCACATAACAATGAAATGCGTCCCTTATTTTGACACATGGGTATATCGCCACCTTTATTTTGCCACGCGGGCAACCCGAGAAAATGCCACCCTTTATTTCACCTCACGCGCACAACAATAGACACAATTACATGGCAAAGACCTCGTGCCACAATATCACCACAATCAATCCGCTCAACATGTGTACAAGTGTCATATTCACAATAATATAAGATAACAAATAGTCATCGAGAAGCATATCCTCATAACTCATCAATAAAGCGCACAAGGACATGATAACAGCAATAAGAATGTGGATAAGGCATGACTACGACTAAATCAATTATAGCAGCCAAGTTCAAGTAGTCACACAAAGATTCACACATGTATCACGTCCCAATCAACGCACAACACAAGAACAAGTACGGATGTATGTACATAACATACGTGTGTCTACCTCCGAGGCAAGTATAGCACAAGTCTCAGGATTTTCTCAACGTGTTCAAAATACGGTACCAATAGCCTCTCCATTTCTCTAGCATGGTTTATTATGCCCACGCAGTCAATTAATGGAATAATACACAAAATCAAGTAGAACACATAACCAAATAAAGCATATAGTGAGCTAGAATCCACCATGAGCATAGAAACCCATGGTATATGTATATACACTCGTCACCTCATATGTACATCGCCCCCACAAGTAGCAAACAATAACAATTAGTAGAAAATATTCCCTCAACCAAAGTTAGGCAAGACACTTACCTCAAACAAGCTAAATCAATACTCTAAAAATACCTTCCCACGCGAATCAACCTCTGAACGGCTCGAATCTAGCCAAAAATAACTCAATAGCAAAAAATATTTCCATAGGAATCAAACCCAAGTGATAAATGTCGAATCTTTAACCAAATACTCAAAGTCAACAAAAAAGTCAATCCGGGCCCGCATGCCTGAAAGCCGAAACCAATACCAAAATTCGATGACCCATAACCTACCGAATCCAAATATATAATTAGTTTCCAAATTCAACTTCAATTTCATGTTCAAAACTCCAAAATTCATTCTCTTAAGTTTAAGACAAAACCTCCCAAATTCTTCTTTTCAAATCCTTGATTTAGGTATAATAGTCCAAAAAAATAAAATATATAATTAAAATAATAATAAAACTACTTACCCTCATGATTTGTGTGACCTCCTCCAAAACCGCGTTACTTGTGCTCCAAGAACTCAAAAAGTCAAGTAAATAAACTCAAAATCCTGAAATTAGATATTTTAAAGCCGTGCCAGTCGTCCTTCTTTGTGATCGTAGTCACCGCCTTCGTGATCGCGGTTCACAAAATGTCCAGCATGATTTTACCCTTCGTGATCGCTACCAAAAAGCGTCGCAATCGTGATGAACAAACCTGTGAAATATTTGCTCAACTCTTTCCATATAGCCTCTAGTGCAGCTGCCATAACTTTCTTTATAAATCTCCAAATGAAACGGTTTAATTTTCTGAAATTTTGACACAAAGGACTAAAACTTTTATTTTTTGATCACCTCAAAATTCCTTGTAGATTGCAAGATATAAGCTCCCGAAGTTAGCCTAGTGACATAAAAAAAACATTCTTCACGATCGCAAGTTGTCCCTACGTGAACGCGGTTCATAACTCCAAAACTGCATTTTACATTTTGCGAACGCAGCTAGCCCAATGCTCCGCGATCGCGATGTATAACCCTGTAGCTAAAAAAACAGCAGCTGAAAAGGGCCTAATGATTGTTCGAAACTACCCCAAATACACCCGAGCCCCTTGGAACCCCATCCAATCATATCAAAAAGTTTATAAACCTAATCCAATCTTATCCAAAAGCTCGAAATATCACAAATAACATCAAAATCAAGAATCAAAGATCAAGATCATTCTCTTAAATTTCAAACCTTCAAACTTCGGCGAACGCGTTCGAATCCAACGAAATCAACTCGGAATGAAACTAAACTTTGAACACAAGTTTCAAATGACAAAACGAATCCCTTTCAAGCCCTGGAATAACAATCTGAGCTCGATAGCCACAAAGTCAATCCATGGTCAAAATTTATAAAATTTCCAACCCTTCAAATTGTTAACTTTCGACAAAAAGAGCCAAATCAACCTAGGAACCTCCAAATACGAATCCGGACATATGTCGAAGTTCAACATCACCACAATCTATTGGAACCATCTAAACACGAATCCGAGATCGTTTACTTAAAAGTCAATCCTTGGTTAACTCCTCCAAGTTGAAGCTTCCAAATTGAGAATTACTATTCTAAAATAATCCTGAACTTCCCAAAAATTAAAACCAACTATGCACGCAAGTCGTAATACATCATATGAAGCTATTCAATACCTCAAACAACCGAACGGAATGCCAACATTCAAAATAACTTGTCGAATTGTTACAGAGATTAAATTACTTGAAGAATAAGATATGTGGCATATTACAATATTTAAAATACATTAAAAGTAAAACAGTTTTTGTAGGGTCAGTGTTAAGTAAAACCATAAAAGGAGTGGTAAAGAAAAGAGGCAAATCTAAAATGTTGGACCCTAGCAAATCTTTTATACTCTTTAGTAAATTGTATTATATTTACCAATTGACTTATGTTGTTGGAAAATTAGTAATATCTCAAAAGGTAATGTCCATTTTGGTTTGAAATTTTTTTCTCTTTGAAGTATTATTTACATCTTCTTATTATTTAATAAATTATTTTACATTTAATGTAGTCAAACAAGCCATTAA